GAGCAACAGCCGATGGCTAAAAGTAAGGATGGGTATGGGGATGGGTTTGGGGATGCCAGTCCGGATGAGGATGATGGGATGGGGATGGTTCGGAACTCTCAACTCAAACTGAGCTCAGCTCCTCGGAAGCTGTTAAAAATGCCTTAACTTGCGCAGACAGCGCCGAGAGAAGTGGAGGAGTTTTATGTGCGGCCAACGTGGCGTATACGTAATGTGCTTAAGCCTCGAAATTTAATTTGATTTTCCAATTAAACCAGCGCCAGCGCTTCACGAGTCAAAATGTGTGAAATGTGTGCAGTCTTGCATCTATACTATTTTTATACATATATATATATATAGAGAGAGATATGTAAAGGTGTGTAAGCGGGTGTACAAAAATATGCAATTCTTAATTGAAAATTGATTTCGCCTGGAAGGCAGGCAGCCTCAAGTGCAAATTGCTTCATTTGTATGCAATTTGCGGGTTTGCCTGTGCGTTTCGGCTTTTGGTTTGCTTCGGTTTGGTTTTTGGTCGTTTGCTCGTTGGCTGTTGGTTGCAACTGCATTTACGGTCTGTTTGTGTGCGGGGGCATTTTTCTCGAATCGGAATCGTTTTGGTTCCACAGAAGTAGCTCTTACCTGCCCAGCTGTTTGCCTTTGCAGTCTCAATGTTGGCCATTTAATTTAATGCGTTATTTAACGCAAACAATTTGAGCACTGCCCGGATGATACAGATACGTATACACCGATCCATCTGCCTGCCAAAAACTAATGGCCAACGACAAGGCCTAATTCGTGACATGACCCCTCGATTCGGCCATAATATCAATCATTGCATACATTAAGGCGCATCCGCTGATTGCACACCGGTCTGTGGAATTACCTATTATTATTATTGTTATTATGGGCGCAGTGACATGGCGACCACATCACAGGACTCTCCCATCTCCAGAACTGCAATCCCCATCCATACTTGATAAGCAGTTAAATGAGCGATGCCTGTGCATATGGAATCGACCATCGTCAAACGAGCCTGTGTTGACGTGGGGATTAACATGTTGTGGCTTGTCGCATGTAATTTATTCAAGCAACATGTCCGGAGTTTACCAATGTGCCCCAGGACCGCAAAAGATGTTAATTAAGAAGCCAAAGTTAATCGATTTGCGGGCCAGCATGTTGATGGCTCCTGTGGCCGGGCCTTAATGTTTGTTTTTGTGGCCTCGGTCTGGGTTCGAAACCAACTGTTTGCATTGCATTGACTTAACTTGGCTGGCGCTAACCGATTCCATATTTGCTGGCCAACAGCACGCGGCTTATCGCAGTCAAAGCAAAACTTCTGCATTCCTTTGAGCCAAGCTTTGCTGGCAAAAGAAAAAAGAAAAAAAAGGAAAAAATAAAACACATCTATCTATCTATCTATCCAGCTGTCCAGCTGAAACAAAAACTAAAACTGAAAGCACACAAATGACCAGCAGATAGATGAAGCATTTTCCCTTTGGCCCTTACAATTGTTGCAATGCAACCGAGATTGCAGAACACAACAAAAAAAAAAGGAAAAACAGAATTAAAAACATTTTTACCCGTTACAGTTGCTGCCACCGGAAATTCACTAATTCAAAGATGGAGTCCGTTGCTACAAACTTTAACTTGCACTACATCCGTTTCCCCAGCTCACAGTTTTCCTGCTACACTTTTCCGCCTCCTCAGCCATTTTTCGGGGGTCAGCAGCAGGACCTCCCCCCCCATTTTCCAGCTGGATTTTCCTTTTCTTTCGAGCGATTGCTGTGCCATTTCTTTCGTGCTACTTGGGGAGCTTTTAATGTTTTATGCCTGATTGAGTTCTGCTTTCGGGTTTTTTCTCCAGACTTTTTGTTCTGTTTGCCAACGCTGGACATTTCTATGAGATTTCCGCCTTTGTGGCTTATGTTTTGAGCATTTCTGTTATTAAACTTACAGCCACTTCAACTGGCTTTGTGCTCCCGGCCGTTGCTAAGTAATGAGATCGATCCGCTTTATTTTCCATTATTTATCCCGCCGGCCCCCCGCGTTTATCCCTTTGTCTTTTGTTTTCCCTCGCCCACAATTTTTAATTGTTGTTTCTGGGCTTGATGAATTGGAATTCATAGAAGATTGGCGTTGGCTTTGGCTTTGGCTCGTTTGCGCCATAACGCTTATTGATTTCGGGCTTTTTTGCCCGCAAGAAAATAACAATTTGAACGTTATATTCAGTGTGAAATGGTTGTATTTATTTATTATTTGGGAAGGGAAAATGGGATCATCGACCCAGTGTGCTGGTTCCATCAGTTATACCAACCAGAATGAAAATATTACACCGGCTAAGTAATCAAGAAGCTCTTTTGGTGTAGGAAAACAAAATCAATGCGGACATTATATGTATAAAACCATAAATGGATTAAAGAAAAAATTAACTATGTCTTTATAAAATAATTTTTTACTAATAAGTATACCTGAAAAATGAATTTCATATCTATAGGCGGGGTTTCACGTCTTTTAAGGATCTTTTTCTCGTCCTCGTAGGCTTAAAAGAAATGTATGGTTTAAAAACATTTCCATGACTTAACTTAATCTTGATAGTTCCAAGAAATTGAAATGATTACGGTAATGACCGTATTTTGACCGCCATGTCAAGAGGTTTTCTGGCTCTAATTTCATGATTGTCCATGTTAAATCAAGGATTAGTCCATTGTTTTAGTCGGACATCGAAGCCTTACGGGCTCAACATTCCCGTTGAAGTCCGCGTTGCATGTGAACATATATCGTGTACTCAATTAGTCATTACATTAGTCGGCTCCTGTGTATCTAATTGATGTATTTGCCCGCCAACGTTTTGTTTCAGTTCAGGCTCGACTTCCTTTTGAAAAACAACCGACCCACCGCCAGCCCTGGTTTATTCATTGTGCTGTGCTAAATAAATAAAGCAATTTGTAACTGAGTCACGTAAATTGTAATCTGGCAAATAAATTGATTTGTTTGTTAAAATCGCTGCAAGCCAGCACGAAGAACCAACTGTACCGACTGTCAGGCAGCTGCTTTGGTGGAACCGGAATCGTAGGAGCATCCATCTACCATGTACCATCTACCATCCCACCTTTCACCCAACTATTTGAAAAATATCGATATCCATTACGGACTTGCTGTCAGCCTGTATTGTTTTGCCGTTTTGCTTAAACAGGTCATGGCAAAGAAACTAGAAGGGGGGTTCCCAGGATCCCAGGAGGAAAACCAAAAGAGAAAACAAGCCACACAAAGCTCAATGGGGCTTTTTGTTTGTTCCAGGATGAGGCAGAGGTGGTACTGAACCTGCCACAGGCATGTTTTTCCTGGCCTTCACCCAACTGCAGATTGAATTGTATGCCTTTCGACACCTGAGACACTTTGGCATGTGGCAAAGCCGAAATGGTGTCTACAAATATTAACCCGATTGCAATGCAATTAATATAATTTATGACTGTTAATTTGTTGCCTACCGTTTAGAAGCGTTTATCATATTATTACTGGTTGCTGATCTTACTTCAACTTGTGGCTGCCAGCTGCATTAGGACGGTAAATAATTCAATGCAAAATGCCTTAGTCTGGGCAAATATTTGGGCCTGCCAAAATCAAATTTATCCCGAGGAATTTGATTTTAATATTAAACAGGTCTGGAGCGTCAGGATGCCAGGTTGTCCGGATGGTGGACCTCCCAAAATCCCGGAGACATATGCAAAAGCGGTCTGCCTGGCTGGCAAATCTCAACTATTTCAGCTCACTTTCCGATGTGAAATTTTCGGTTTTCCGTGTTTTCAAGCAGTGCAAAGACTAGAACCGAACTGAAATGTCTGTCTGCCTGCGGCTTGGACTCTGATTTACAAGCGTAAAATAGCAGTGGCATAAAATATTTAACTATTTTGTATCGACCGTCTGTGAATCCCTCTGTATCCTCTGTCTGTGGACTCGGAGTTCCGTTTGGCCGGGCTGCCAGTTTGTTTTTGCGGCTGCTCTGAAGGGGCTTCATTTTTGCGGGCTCGTTGGTTTTTTCGCAGCATTCTACTCTAATCCATATAGCATCGTCTGTGTTTATTTTCATATTTAATGACTTGTTTTTGTTGGCATTCGCCGCTTAAAGCCACAACACAAAATCATATAATTGCTTAATATCCACGTTAACAATGCCGGCCAAAAAGACCTCCCTCTGTCCGACGCATTTATTAAATTTTCATTAAAATTTATAGTTGCCTCGCTGTGGCCTGAGCGCCCATAAATCAGCAAATTAATATTAGGTTGTGGCAATGCCGACGGAAGGTCGGCTAGCCATTGTGCCTAACACGTGGATAGGCATAATTCATGTTCGCCATAGGGTGGGGACTCTCATCATCCCCATCCCCCCATCATCCCTGTAAAATTTGTGACACATTCGAAAATATTTCGTCCAAATATGCGGTTGCCTGGCATGTGACAAATTGAATGTGCAGCATTTTCGCCCGTTCCATTTAAAGTCTAGAGTGCACTTTAAGGATGGGCCAGCTTCTCATCCATTAGGGGCCTTTCTGCTATCGGTATCGGTTTGGTCATGGCTGCAAGCTGGCTTTTGGTGCCAGGTCCTTCATCCTTCGTCCTTCGTCCTTCGTCCTCCGTTCATCGTTGTGCGCCCAGAGACTCGGTACTCTGCACTCTGGCTGCCATGTAACGTGCAAATAACAAATAAATGGCCAACTAAAACCAACATCAATCAGGCCATGTTTATGCGGGCGTGCTGCGACCAGTTTGCCCGATTCTCTGACTCCGAGCAGCGATGCAGTTGAAAGTGGCCAACGGTTTGCTTGGCCATGCTGCAGAGGGCAGATATTAAATCCAACGAGTTCCAGTTAATGATGAAGAGCCAAGAACAGTCGATAGCAAAATATATCTAGTGTAACATTTATACCTTTGTCTCTAGGGAGTTAGTAATAAGAAAACCTTAGCGCAGATAAACATGAGGAGAAAACATGAGCAGAAAACAGCCATAACAATAATTTATAATTATATACAAAGTAAAATTATCATTAGAACTGGGGTAATGTTTACATTGGGTAAACAAGAAAGATAAGATTTTAACGGACCAGTATTACTAAAAAATTTTAGTTCTAATATTTATATCAAGCCGTGAAGATGTTGCCGGCCTTTGTCATAATTCCGGGAATTTTCTTCATAGCCATTATAGCCACAGCATTCGCAGCTATTTTTAACGTCGGTTTCAAAGCACATGACTGTCGAATTCTAAGGGATACTATCACCAGTGGTCTACTTGCTGACAATAGGAATCAATTCGACCTTCCGTTAGATATTCACTTAGATCCCCATGAGTCGAGGCTTATGATCTGCAATGGCAGCGAGTTTAGTACCACTTGCCAGGAAAACGGGATATATTATCCACCACTACCCAGTCCCAACTGTGTAGAGACCCTAAGACCATTTATTAACTCCGTTCAAGATCGCAGATATCCGCATACCATATATGTCGTGGCTTTATCGGACGGGACTAGACAAATGGAGCTCTTTCATAGCTGCTATGACGCAGAAACGATGACGGCGTATTGGTCCATCAACACGGTCCACCCGCCAGTTTCAAGTAAGTTATCCGGAGCCAAGAAAAAGATTTAGGTTCTGGATCATAAAGCTTTTATCCCTAAAAAATATTTAGGATCTGAGCGACCACGAGCGAGCTTCATCCGTGATGGCCTAATTTCTGCCAGAGATGCGGCCTCTTTTCAACAGAGTAATATTTATAATCGGTTTGAAGCACTTCTCGGACCGGAACAGCGGTATATAGCTTCTCCACAAACTCTCTCCTTCGACCGAGGACACCTGACTCCCGCCGCAGACTTCCCCAACGCCTGGGCTAGCCAGCAGACTAATAGGTACCAAAATGTTGTCCCCCAATACTACAGAATCAACCGGGGCAATTGGAGGAATGTTGAAAATTGGGTTCGTCAACAACACGATACCCTGATAGTCTGCACTGGGGCTTTGGGTGTACTTGAACTGAACAACAGGAATCAAGTGCCGACGCCGATTTACCTAGCAGAAGGCAGAAACCCAGTTCCCAGGTGGATCTACAAAATCATTTATAGTGTCGACAGCAAAAAAACAACAGTGATTTTGACATCAAACAATGGATGGGAAACTGAAAGACCAAACCCAGAAGCTTTTGATCGAGTTGTGCCCTGCCCCCCAACATTAATACGTACTGAAGTTGGATTCACATTCTGCTGCGATCCAACTGACTTTATTAAAAGGAACAACCCTGGGTGCATTCAGACAAACAAAATACCCATATGGAGATGAATTACGTTTGTAGCTCTTAAACAATGCATTCATAGTTCTCTTTTGATAATTTTTAAGTAAATTGCTCAACAACAACGATTATAAAGTTGAATATTGTTTACACAACACAAGATATTTTCATAATAATAATATTGTTATAAGTTACAAGTGTATAGCATTATCAAACAGTTACGATTGGAAAATAAATGATTCATATTCATAATACAATGCGTTACAAAATTTGTTAATTTATTTTTTCCCTGATTCCCTTCCGTCTTATTTTCGAATGAGTTTATGAAAACGCCACCTTCGCTTCACTTTGAGGTAACCTGTCCTCTGATTCTTGCATCGGGGGCTTATCAAAGCAAAGGTTGATTCTCTCAGAATTATTGAGATAAGGAAATGCTCACGTTCGGTGCTAAATAATTATACGTATACAAAAAGCGACCTGAGCTTATTGCGATCTTTAGTTCTACATGAAATCCCAAGCTGTGAAGATGCATGATCTAAAGTTTCTCTGGGTTGGCCTATCTTTCTGTGAGTATATATACCGGGTGTTCGTTTATCGTCAAAAGCTTATCCGACTTTCAGTTTTAGGAAATGTCAGCGCTATATGTTTTATTCATAAAAGTTTGTTGACAACGAAAAATATTTATTTAAGCCACAATAATGGGAAGTACGATATCCAGCATAGTGATATGGTGGCCAACGGCCAAACGATCTATTTGCTTTGTAACGGAGGAATTCAACGTACTGGATTTCAGTGTCAATCTAACAATGATTTTAATCCACCTTTAAACACTGCTATATGCTCAGCGCCATTTGTCCCGTCTGTTGTACAATTAAGAAAACCCGATTGTCCCAATCCTTCTCGTGTGTATATGGTGGGCTTTAACTTCAATGGAAACTTTATGGAGCTGTATCGAAACTGTTTCAATGCCAACAGCTTAGCATTCCAACATTCCATCTATATGGTCTACCGCCACGAAAATAGTAAGTTAGAAATATGTCAACCTCCTTCCTATCTAAAATCATTTTTTTAGCCGCTCCACGTCCTACCCCTCCATGGACCTCGGATGGATTAAGTGGAGGATTTGATAATGCTTATGAGGGAAGAGCTACTCAAGCTTGCTTGCTGACTAACCTGGGTGCAACACAGCCGCAGTGTAAATTTGATCGTGGCCACATGACACCAGCCTCTGCCTTCATGTTCACAGAGCATAAGAAAGCCACCTTTAAGTATTTAAATGCCATCCCCCAATATCGTGGAATCAATCGTGGTAACTGGAAGACTGTCGAGTCCTGGGTAAACAATGTAGTAAAGGGACTATATGATAGTCCAACGCGAACCTACGATGTTCTTAAAGTTTGCACAGGAGCAATGGGAGTGCATAGATTGAGACATACGAATAATAACAATATGATATCAATTTTCCTTTTGGATAATAACAAAATTCCCGTTCCCGAATGGATGTACAAGATAGTTAGCCATCTTTCTGGAGACAAATGGGTTATGTTAACATACAACGACGTTAATATCCCTGCTCAGCAGGACTTAAATCAGATCTGCCGGCAGATCAATTGTCATCCAGGCCTTCATCTGAATGGGAGAAGTGTGGGTCACACTGTCTGCTGCGATCCATTACATTTTATCAATAGAAACTTTCCACATTTGACTGGTGTTTGCTAAAGCGTTCAAAAAAAAACAATTGTATTTTTAAATACAATGTTAACACAGTTTAGAATACTTAAGATGAATAAAAATTCAAAAACATCTTTAGAAATTTATCAGGGGCATGGACGTCGTTTGTTATGATTATATGGAAACGTATATTTTTATAATAACAAAGTATTCGTTTAAATTTTGTTTTCAAGCATAGGATTCTAAGACGTTTTCAGGGCAGTGCGTCATGTAGAAACTCGGAATTTCCATAATTTCAACTACAAAAGTCTAACCTACCGCAATCGGTTATAAATGACGTTGAATAACGTTGGGATTTTCACAGCTGGTGAGATAAGCAAATAAAATAAAGTCTAGCTTGGCGGTCGCAGAGATTTATATTCCGCCCTGATAGACTATGCTGATGATGCTGATTGAACAGTCAACAAGAATTAAATTCATTCCAGTTATTCAAAAATGTAACCCCGAGAGTATGCTGCAAATATATACAATAAACACTAATGATTAAAGCAAAACAAAATAAAAGAAAAAACAATAAGTAATCAAAAAGTGGTTACAATTCTTAGAATCTTACGATTTGAACCTGAAGAGTTGTTTACAATAAATTGATTAAGTACTTGACAGATAAGATATAAACAAAGGATGTTTGATTAACTGGTTTCCTTGGAGGTTCAGCTATTTATCTTATCAGTCAGAAGATTCTTCGTAACCAGATTTTCTGTGATCCTCAGTTGTACTTTAAAGCTTAAACTGTGAAGATGCACGAGCTACGAAATCTAGTAGTTACGCTAAGCCTGTTCCTAAGTTAGTATAACCTTTTCCCACGTACGCAACGAATGTTACAGTTCTTTCTTTCAGCCTTGGGAAAAGTCCAATCTTTTTGCCAGCTTGGTGAAAATTATATTTGGACCAATCACATTTTTGCGCACATCGTTAATAACCACTACGAACTTTTGCCCGCGGATCGGTTCCAAACAAATCAGAATATAATTTTGCTATGCGGTGGAAATGCACCTGTGTTTTCGACCATTTGCCAGTCAAACGGTCAATTTTATCCACAACTGCCCAAATCGAATTGCTCGGTTGAAATTCAGCCGTCTGTTGAGGTCATACGTTGGGATTCTACTTGCCCTTATACCATGTACAAAGTGGGGTTCTTGTTCGGAACTACGTTTTTGGAGATCTATCGAAGCTGCTACGATGCCAAAACTATGACTGCAGCTTTCTCCATTCACAAGGTCTATCCCACTTTTTTGAGTAAGTTCAAAATTGTTGTGAATTTTTCTTATTGACTAAACTGATTCGACTGTCCCTGAAAATCTAGAGTCTTATCGAAGGCAATCCTGGGACCGAGATGGGCTCATTTCTACTGCAGATGAAGCCTTGTTTACTAAAGAAAGCATCTACGAAAGGTTTAAAACTATTTTGGGAGATCGCCAGACGTACATTGCTTCCAAGACAACAGATGCTTTCGACCGAGGCCATCTAACTCCATCAGCTGACTATACTTTTTACAAAGTTCTGGGACTGACCAATAAGTACTTAAACGTCATCGCGCAATCCTCTAACATTAATCGTGGCAAATGGCAGAAAATTGAAAAATGGGTTCGTGATTTGTCAATCGAACATAATGATGTGCTGAGGGTCTGCACCGGTGGGTTGGGTATTCTGGAATTGAAGGACACCAAGCAAAAACCAACTCAAATTTACCTAGGACCGGGAAAACTCCCAGTTCCCAAGTGGACTTACAAAATCGTAACTCCTTCTTCCGGCTCAAAGGTCGTGATTTTGATGACAAACAATGGATTCGAAAAGAAATCGTTGAGCCCAGCATCGATCTGTAGAAGCGTAAGCTGCCCAACCGGGATTAATACAGACGGAAACACTTTCTGCTGCGATCCCTCCGACTTTATCATAAGAAATGTCCCGAATTTGTCTGGGACTTGCTAAGGCTCAGAGACGATTAGTTACAATTATGCAACAAGCGGATATTTAAAATTTACACATTTTTATTTGAAAAAGTTTCATATGGTTTTTTATCTTAAAAAAGTGTTTAGATTAAGAAAAAAAGTAAAATAAAATCCAAATCCAATCCTCCACAAACGGTTGTCTTGACCTCCGATAACTTGAATTCTCAATTCGCCCCGACTCTTTCGCATTTGCCCATCTATGCTATAAGGACACCATGCTATAAGCCACAATGCAATAAACTTGGTACGCTATAAACCAAATGCTATAAACTTTGGTACATTTCTTAGTTCCAATATGGAACAAGTAGATGTCGTCCACGTGCAACTTAAAATTTGTGGCAACCTAATATGGCAGCAGCGCCAACAGAAGCTTGCCAGATGACTAGAAAGAATGGTGTGGCAACTCTCGGAGATTTATCGGCAAGAATCAGCGAGCGACACACGTGTCTTGATAATATTAATAAACTTTGTAGTTCTTAATCTGAATAAAACTTTAATGGCAAACATACTTCGCCATAGTGGTGACCCCGGAAAGTAAAATCATAGTAAAAGTTACTTATTCTACGAAATTGACACACACGTTCACAATTAAGAATTTGCGCACTGAATGAACAGACGCCAATACGATTTGCGAAAAATAAAAGGTAGGCGGCTAAATTTCGACGAAGAAAGCGATCGCTCCGATTTTCCATTCATCATGCCGGATTTAAATCCTGATTTAACTGCTCAAGTCCGAGATCTGCAGCAGCAACTTGAGGCACTTCGGACAAATGCACCTGGCAACCGGGATGAGACTACACGCACACACACACGTGCGACTGTCCACTTGCCAAAATTCGCACATAGCAACCCTCAACTATGGTTTGCGCAAGTGGAGCGGTCATTTCGATTGCACCAGATTATCGACGACACCGACAAGTTCGACCTTGTGACCCTTCACCTGGAGGAGGATGTAGTTTTGGCAGTGGAAGACTTAGTCATTCGACCACCCAACGAAAACAAGTACGTAGCAATTAAAAATCGCTTACTACAAAAATTTGCGGAATCTCCAGAGTCGAAACTGCGCCGACTTCTGCAGGGTGGAGGTACATCTGGTCTAAAACCATCTGAGATCCTGGCCAACATGCGACGACTAGCTCCGGACCCGGGCAGCGAGAACATCATTCTTACTCTTTTCCTGGCAGAGATGCCGGCGTCAATTCGACCCACTCTTACAGTCTGGGAAGAGACGGACTTGGATAAGCTCGCTAAGATCGCAGACAAGATGCTCGAAGCGGTAAACCACAACGCCACTTTTGCGATCAGCACGAATAACTCGACTGCAGCGGCCCCACCTGTTTGCGCAACTTCCACCGAAGACCCCTGGAAAAAGATCAACGACAACTTGCGTTCGCTGTCACAGAAGTTTGACGTATTGCAAAAGGATGTCAAACGTCTCCAATTCCAAGGACGCTCACGCAGTTCATCGCGTGGCCATGTACAAACTGGAAATTCGAATCAACAGGCATCTGTGCCTCAAGAGAAGCTTTGCTTCTACCACGATCGATTTGGGGAAAACGCTCAAAAGTGCCGCCCTCCATGTTCCCGCTCCTCGTCGTTAAACTAAAGGAGCTGTCGCCCGACACGCTGGTCGGCGGCAGCACGAATATAACCAGCGAGCCTACAGTTCAGCTAGCTGTTCCACAGGAGCAGCGTCTACACGTCACCGATCGCACATCTCACATCCGCTTCCTCGTTGATTCTGGATCTGTAGTTTCCGTCATACCACGAACGCTGGTTAGACAAAAAACTACTCTGAGCGATTTGACACTGTACGCAGCGAACCAGACAGTCATTCATACTTATGGAAAATACGTCACTCAACTGAACTTGGATCTTCGCCGAAACTTTACATGGCCGTTCATTATCGCTGACGTGCACACAGCTATTATTGGGGCTGACTTTTTAAGCAAATTCCAATTGCTCATTGATCTTAAAAACCAACGCTTGATCGACTCAGTTACTGGACTATCGACACCAGCATGTCTTGCACAAGCGAAACACATATCAGTTTCCACAGTGCAGTGTATGTCCAAATTTCAAAAACTCCTAAGTGAATTTGTCGACGTGACAAAGCCATCGATTAAAGCAGCTACGCAACACGACGTGCGTCACTACATTGAAACAAATGGAATACCTGTTGCTGATAGACCACGACGCCTCTCCGGTGAAAAACTTGTCACTGCCAAGAGAGAAATAAACTTCTTGATGGATCAAGGCATATGTCGCCCGTCAAAAAGTCCTTGGTCCAGCCCGTTACATATGGTTACCAAAAAAGACGGTGGCTGGCGGGCATGTGGAGATTATCGAAAACTAAATTCAATTACCATACCAGATCGCTACCCAATCGCCCATATACACGACTTCACGGAGCAACTGCAAGGAAAGAAGATTTTTTCAAACCTCGATTTGGTTAAAGCATACTACCAAATTCCCATGGCAGAAAACGATATCCAAAAAACAGCGGTGTGCACTCCTTTTGGACTCATTGAGTTTCAATACATGCCATTTGGGTTAAAAAACGCGACTCAAACATTTCAACGCTTTATGGACAACATCTTTCGCGGCATGGACTTCGTTTATTGCTACATTGACGACATACTTATAACGTCGCTTTCCATCGCTGAACACGAAGAACATCTTCGGGCTGTCTTGCAAGTACTTCAGAAACATGGCCTAAGCATCAATCTGACCAAATGCCAGTTTGCGCAATCTCAAGTAAACTTTCTCAGCTATACGATCAATGAATTTGGAATTAAACCACCCACCGAACGCATAGATGCCATTCTTAATTATGCACGTCCTGAAACCATAAGCCAACTTGGTCGTTTCTTGGGCGTTATAAATTACTATCGCAGATGTTTGGCTCGATCATCACACATACAAGCGCCGCTCACTGAGTTGCTAAAGGATGTTAAAAAAAATGATCAACGTAAAATTGAATGGACATCAGAGCTCCATGCAGCTTTTGAAGCTTGCAAACAAAGCATAGCAGACGCAGCCCTCTTGTCTTTTCCCGCACCAAAATCTGAACTTCAG